TCAATTGCAATAAAAACATGCAAAGACATTTGAACACATGGAGACTAAATAACATGTTATTAAACAATGTATGGGTTACAAAGGAGATCAAGGAATAAATTAAAAACTTCCTGGAAACCAATGAAAATGAACACAGAACAACAAAATAATCTATGGGATGCAGCAAAAGCAGTTCTGAGAGGGAAGTTCATAGCACTACAGGCCTACCTCAAGAAGCAAGAAAAATTCCTAATTTACTGTCTAACCTCACAACTTAAAGAACTAGAGAGCAAACAAAAAGAAAATCCCAGAGCAAGTAGAAGGAAGGAATCAGTAAACAGCAGAGCAGAAATAAATGGCAGAGAGACCAAACAAACAATTCAAAGGGTTAATGAAACAAAGAGCTGATTTTTCGAAAAGATAAACAAGATTGATGGACCCTTAACTAGACTCACCAAGAAACAAAGAGAGAGAACCCAAATACACAAAATCGGAAATGAAAGAGGAGAAGTAACAACTGACACCACAGAAATACAAAAGATCATTAACATCTACTATGAACAATTATATTGTAACAAATTCGACAATCTAAGCAAAATGAACAAATTTCTAGAAACACACAGTCTCCCAAAACTGAACAAGGAAGAGATAAAAAACTTGAACAGACCAATAACAACTAAATTAATTGAAGAGGTAATCAAGACTCTCCCAGATGCAGATGGCTTCACAGGGAGTTTGCCAAACATTCAAAGAAGAACTAACACCCATTCTCCTCAAACTATTTCAAAAAATTCAAGAAGGAAGACTTCTAAACTTATTTTATGAGGCAAGCATAATTCTAATTCCAAAACCAGAAAAAGACACTACAAAGAAAAAAAAAACTACAGGCCGATATCCCTGGTGAACATAGACAACAAAATCCTGAACAAAACACTAGCAAATCTAATCCAGCAATACACCAAAAAAATTATTCAACATGACCAAGTGGGATTCATCCCAGGGAAGAAAGACTGGTACAATATTTGCAAATCAATAAAAGTGATACACCACATAAACAAAATGAAGAATAAAAACCACATGATCATATCAATAGATGCTGAAAAAGCATTCAACAATATACAGCATCCATTTTTTTATAAAAGCACTCAGCAATGTGTTAATAGAGGGATCATATCTTGACATAACAAAAGCCATATGAATGACCTACAGCCAACATCATACTCAATGGGCTGAAACTAAAAACATATCCCTTAAGAACAGGAACAAGACAAGGATGCCCATTTCACCACCCTTATTTGACATAGTACTGGATGCCCTAGCCACAGCAATCAGACAAGAAGAAAAAGTAAAAGGGATCCAAATTGGAAAGGAGGAATTGAAACTGTCATTATTTGCAGATGACATGATATTATACATAGAAAACCCTAAAGACTTCATCAAAAATCTACTACACTTAATAAATGAATTTGGAAAAGAAGCAGGATACAAAATTAATGTCAAGAAATCAACGGCATTCTTATACACCAATGATGAATTCACAGAAACAGGAACTGAAAAACAATCCCATTTACCATTGCAGCAAAAAATTAAGATATCTAGGAATAAACTTAACCAAAGAAGTAAAGGACCTATTTCCAGAAAACTACAGGTCATTGAAAAAAGAAATAGAGGAAGATATAACAAAGTGTTAGCACATACCTTGTTCATGGATTGGAAGAACTAACATCATTAAAATCTCCATACTACCCAAAGCAATCTATAGATTCAATGCAATCCCCATCAAAATACCAATGACATATTTCACAGAACTAGAACAAATACTTCAAAAGTTTATATAGAACTAAAAAAGACCCCAAATAGCCACAGCAATCTTGAAAAAGAAGGACAAAGCAGGTGGGATCACAATATCAGATATCAGGTTATACTACAGAGCGACTGTAATCAAAAGAGCCTGGTACTGGCACAAGAACAGGCATATAGACCAGTGGAACAGAACAGAGAACCCAGATATGGACTCAAGGCAATATGCTCAATTAATACTTGACAAAGGTGGCAAGAGCATACAGTGGAGTAAAGACAGCCTCTTTAATAAATGGTGTTGGGAAAATTGGACAGCTACATGCAAAAAAATGAAACTAGACCATCAACTTATACCATACACAAAAATAAACTCAAAATGGATAAAAGTCTTAAATGTGACTAATGAATCCATAAAAATACTAGAAGGAAATGTAGGCAACAAAATTTCAGACATCATACGCAGCAGAATTTTTACTGATACATCACCTAAGGCAAGAGAAACAAAGGAGAAAATGAACACATGGGACTACATCAAACTCAAAAGCTTCTGCACAGCAAAAGAAATAACCATCAAAATGGAAAGGCAACCCACTGTATGGGAGAACATCATATTCAATGATACATCAGATAAGGGGTTAATTTCCAATATATAGAGAGTGCTCATACAACTCAACAAATGAAGACAAAGAATCCAATTAAAAGATGGGCAGAGGAGCTGAATAGACACCTCTGCAAACAGGACATACAAATGGCCAAGAGACATGTGAAGAAATGCTCAACATCACTAATCATCAGAGAGATGCAAATTAAAACAACAATGAGATATCACCTTACACCTGTCAGAATGGCCTCCATCCACAAATCATCAAACAAGTGTTGGCCAGGGTGTGGAGAAAAGGGAACTCTAATACACTACTGGTGAGAATGCAGACTGGTGGAAAACAATATGTTGTTACCTCAAAAAATTAAAAATTTAACTGCCATTTGACGCAGTGATCCCACTTCTATGAAGCCTGAAACACCAATTAGAAAGAATATATGTACCCCCATGTTCATAGCAGCACTATTTACAATAGCTAAGATCTGGAAACAGCCCAAGTGTCCATCAGTAGACAAATGTATAAAAAAGCAGTGGTACATATACACAATGGAGTACTATGCAGCTGTAAGAAAGAAAGATCTCTTATCCTTTGAGACGACATGGAGGGATTTGGAGAGTATTATCCTAAGTGAAACAAGCTAAGGAAAAAAAGACAAATAACACATGATCTCACTTATTTATGGAATATAATAAACATAACAGTCTGAGGTATATGGTAAACCCAGAAACATGGAAGTAGGGTACAGACTGACAACTCTCAAAATAGGGCGTGGTAGGGGGAGGGTAGAGATAAACCACAGAACTTATTTGCATGTATGCATAACCAGTGGACATGGACAACAAAGCAGGGGATGGGACAGGGGGATGGGGTGGAAGGTGTCGATGCGGTAAAAATTGAGAAACATCAGTAACAAAAATAAAATGAAATATAACATAAAAAATAATTAAATAAATAAAAACATCTCTGGTATAGTCCAGCTGGTGTAGATCAGTGATTGAGCATCGACCCATGCATCAAGATGTTGCTGACTTGAATCACAGTCAGGGCACATATCCAAGTTATGGGCCAAACTCTCAGTGGGGGGTATGCTTGAGGTGGCCAATTGATGTTCTTCTCATCAATGTTTCTCTCTCTCTCTCTCCCCCTCTCTCTTTTCCTCCCCACTCTCCCCCATTCCTCTCTCTCTAAAAAAATTGATATAAAAGAATGATCTCTTATCCTTTGAGACAGCATGGATGGACCTGGAAATTACTGTATTAAGCAAAATGGAATAGTCAGAGAAAGACAAATATCACATTATATCACTTATATGTTGAATCTATTGAACAAAATAAACTGACACTCAAAATGAACCAGAGACATGGATACGTGAAACAGACTGACAGATCTCAGAAGGGAGGGTGCTTGGTAGGTGGGAAGAGAGTAATGAAAACATCTATTCATTTATGCATAATCCATAGACACAGACAATATGGTGATGAAGGCCTTGGGCAAGCGGGGTACATGTAGAGGTAGGCTGAAGTGGGGAAAATGGAGGACATCTGTAATACTGTCAACAATTAAAAAACAAAAATAAAAGCAATGGTAGGATTTTGTGAAATGAGAAAAGTATTCCTCTTAATACATTAGAGGTTTCTCCACCACTTACCTTTTTTGCTCACAGTTTTAAAACCAATCAGTTTTCAAGGGCTATTCTCATTGTCTTTCTGATCATCCAAGAATTTTTGCTGTATCAATTCAAATGAATCAATTTGTCGAATTGTATTTGTTGGAGGAAGACCAGGGACTAAAATATGTCTTCTAAGGTTCTTCTGTCATGTGTTCCTTGTACCTAAAGTTACTTTCACAAATGTCGTAACTTACTGCTGCAAAGTTGTTTTGCCCAATACAGTGTGTCTTTGACTTTGCTAATGAGGCTCCATCTGGACTTCACCTCTGCTTAGATTTCTGTGGTTGTATATTTGTATGGTGATATTCATGGGCTCAGTCATTTCACCAAAGCACGGCTTCCAGTGTATAATATCTGCATCATGGCATATTTCCATTTCAGTCACATTTTGCTTTGTAACTATTTTATTTTTCCTAGAAAACATTACCCAGTAGGTGACCCAAGCCACCATTCTAAATATTCTTTTTGCAAGATGCAATTTTTAAAAATAAATTTCATTATATTTTTTGTCATTGGGCCTAGAGAGTAGTTTCCAAATCCAGAAAAAGGTGAAAATCACCTATAGACTAAAATGGAAAGGGACACAATGTCCATGCTCACATCACTGAAAATTACCCATTTTCCCCTCCCCAGCTAGAAGACCTCCCTGACTATAAGACTTAAGAGGGCACTTTACCACTGTCTACAAATTACCTGTTATTCTTTAACGTTAATGAGACATCAGTTTGTGATTCATTTTTTTCATTTATTTGTGTATGGCTTAACATTATTTTAAGTTTCAATATAGTGAGGCTCATAAGATTACTAATTGGCTCTTTCACTCTTAAGGCCTTATGTCTGAAATTTAGTTATTTCATTATTATTATTCTCTTATAATAAAAAATGCTACTTATTTCAGTACTACACCCCTCACCACACACACACTTGTTAATGCTTGTTTATTTTTATAGAGGTTGATACAGAACAAATACTGGATGCTATTGGAAGAACTATAATAAAGGGGAAAGTCAAGACACAATCCAAGAGTCATGCTGGTAAGAACAAGAATATTTCAAGTCTATTTATGGTTTATTTATCTTCTCAGATGTTTGAGATCTTTAATGACCGCAGTACCTATATGCTATTATTACATGGTGAAATGTCTTCATAATTTCCCCTTATAGTCAATGAATCTAGCAGTTAACGTCAGTGAAAAATTAGTAAATACTACGTCTTAGAACTCATCCATTTGAAGTGATCTACAAAAGTTCAATGTTGTTGTGAGCTTGGAATATGGCTGTTGGAAGTTTATAAAATGCTCTTCTACTCACTTTCTTTTTCAGACCCTATCAGATTGTTTCTTTTTGCAAAAGCAGAAATGCTATTTATAAATGGGATTAGAAGAGGAATTTAGAAAGTAGATAAATAACCATGTGATAAATAATCACATGGTTATTTATTCCCTCCATGTGATTAAACTGTCAGGCAAATTTCTAACATCTAAGGTGAAGTAGTGAACATTAGATGATTGTTTCTTTTTAATGTAATTTATAGTATAGTCTGCTGTTTTCTGTCCTGGCAGATTAATGCTTAACACACTTTATCATGATGTTTGATATTGTACCAAAGGAGGCAGGCAGGTTAACAGAGCAATCAGGGAAGGAGACAGTAAAGGGAGGCTTTCAAAATAACTGTCATCCAAAGGTGATGATGTTCATACCTCAAGTCTGTGTTCTCTCAAGAACAACACTAGAAGCTTGAAACTGCACAGAAGGTGACCAGTAAAATAAGAAGTAGTCCAGTCCCACCACTCAATAAATAACCAGGCACAGAATGAAAAAAAGCCTCCAAAAGGGAGGGAAACTTAGTACCCAGATTTGCTACAATACATTGCCTAAAATGCCCAGTTTTTACCACAAAATATATGAGACATGCACAGAGACAGTGAAATGAAACCTACACCCTATAAACTGCAGGAATATTGGTTTCAAAATATCAGTAATGCAGTGGAAGGATATTGTGAAGATGGGAGCTTGTGATTCTTACCATATTGTTTGTCTAGCAATATTTTATTTACTAGCTCTTATGCTACCTTCTATCAAATGCACTTATTAATGCCTCTTTGTTTGTTTAAGTATCTCTGCATGCTAATTTCTATGGCCCATTCCTTTTTACTTATGCCAGTTGCAGAAAGAAACAGAGAGCCTCAAATACATCTACTAATATCTCATTTAACATTGGTGTAACTCATAGTACTTTCACAAAATGTAGTTATGTACTTATTGGAAGTTTTTCTGTACTTTTTTATGTGTTTTCATTCATTTTGATAATGATACCCAAGCTAGTTTTCACCTCTTTATTAGATTGCTCTGGATGTATATTTGAGTGACAAAGGTCATAGTGCAACCTTTAACAGTTTTTGTGGTCTCAGCCATTACAACAAACACATCTACCTTATAATTCATGACAGGTTTCCAACCTTTGGTACATGTTCTCATACAACCAGCATTCATTCATAAAACATTAGATACATTGCTTGACAGAAGTCACTGATTCTAATAATCTCATTTCAATATGAATTTCTCTTTAATACTCCTGTATTATTCCTTTCCTCTGATCTAGTTAATAGTTTTTATTACAGCAAAATGTCAAATTACATAAAATAGCAAATGGAATGGGACACAATCCAATGCTGGTATACTAAAACCTCAATATAACGGACTAATTTGGGTGAGGGAGTACTATCTCTTAAAGCCGACAACCTGTTATATAATAAAGTACGTTTTCTGAATGTGTATGTTAAAAATTGACAAATTAGTTAAAGTTTACTTAGTCTTACTTATTTACACACATTTATGTAATTAAGTATGTATGAAAAATTTAATAGAAAATTTTCTATATGTATCACAGTAATTTTAAATGTATACTGAATAGGTCCAGTAAATGCCTCAATATAATGAGGCTTATATGATTGTTAATAGATAGCCCTTCAGCCATGGCCGGTGTTTCCCAGTGGTTAGAGCATCAGCCCACAGACTGGAGAGTCCCAGATTCGGTTTCTGCTAAGGGCACGTACTTTGGTTGCAGTTCATCCACGGCCCGATGTAGGGTTGTGTGGGTGGCAACCACTTGATGTGTCTCTCTCATGTCGAAGTTTTTCTCTTTCTCTTTCTCTTTCTCTCTCTCTCTCTCTCTCTCTCTCTCTCTCTCTCTCTCTCTCTCTCTCTTTCTCCTTCTCCTTCTCCTTCTCCTTCTCCTTCTCCTTCTCTTTCTCCTTCTCTTCCTCCTGCTCTATCTGAAGATAAATACAAAAATGTCCTCAGGTGAGAATAAAAAACAGTAACAACAAAAAAGAGAGCCCTTCAAATTCTAAGTTTTTATGAGAGTGCAATGTCAGACATTATTTTTTTTATAATAACAAATGTTAATTATGTAGTACCACATACACAATCACATATGTCTATTACTGGTTACCATAAAAAGTGTTTGAAATATGTTTTCTATTCATAGAGACTTATCTAGAACACTTGACAGATACCATTGGAAGAGAAAAAATAATTTCTGAAATCAAGGAACAACTTAGGAGTTATGCTGGTAAGAACAGAAATTTTTCAAGTTTAATATTTATAAATTATATCTTCTCTGAGATTTAACTTAAAATGGATCTTTAACGAAAACAGTAACTATATGATATTGTTGCATTGGTAAAATTGTTAATGAATTCCCTCTTATAGTTAGCTAAATTTTGGTCTTTACTATCAATAGGAAGTAAGCTAGGTTTTATTGGCTTTAAAACTCACCAAATTAGAAAGTAATCTATAAAATCCAATGCTCTAGTCACCTTGGAATATATTTGGTGTAAACATTTCCAACTGCTGTTCCATTCACTTTCTATTGCTGGATTAGAGAGGAAAGTTGATTTGAATTTGAAAAAGCAGAGACAACTAATGCATGTTATAAGAAGAGAAATATGAGATAGTCATTATATTGGATACCAACTACCTCTACATAATTAAGTTGGCACATAAATTTACATAATTCACAAGTTACACTGCTGGGTTTGGTCCTAGAAAAACTATGTTATATGCATTTTTTTTTTCAATGCAAGAAATACTGCAATTATGAACTTTTTTGCAGAACTGATGCTGAAAGGTATATTTGGAAGTAGCTGAACATTTAGTTATAAGCACCAAAAGATGTGTTCTCACTGAAATTTAAGATTAGAATAAGATTTCTAAAACATTGTTTATAAATGCTTGTTAATTCATTGTATTATGGTCACATTATTTTTTTTTAGATTTTATTTATTTATTTATTTTTCAATTTTTATTAATTCATTTTTGTTACAGATGTTTCTCCTTTTCCCCCAATAGACACCCTCCTCCCCATCCTGCTCCCCGATTCCCCCAGCATTGTTGTCTATGTCCATTGGTTATGCTTACATGCATATAAGTTCTTTGGTTTATCTCATCCACCCCCCTACCCCCTTCTCTGAGGTCTGTCAGTCTGAACCATATTCCTTTCAATGTCTCTGGGTCTATTTTATTCATCAGCTTATTTTGTTCATTACATTCCATTCAAATAAGTGAGATAAGGTGGTATTTGTCTTTCTCTGATTAGCTTATTTCACTTAGTATAATTCTTTCCAGGTCCCTCAATGTCGGCTCAAAAAATGAGATCTTTCTTTCTTACACCTGCATAGTTTTCCATTGTGTATATGTACCACTGCTTTTTAATCCACTCATCTACTGATGGACACTTGGGCTGTTTCCAGATGTTAGCTATTGTAAATAGTGCTGCTATGAAAATAGGGGTACATATATTATTTCTGATTGGTGTTTCAGGCTTCTTAGGATATATTCCTAGAAGTGAGATGACTGGGTCAAATGGCAATTCAACTTTTAATTTTTTGTGGTAACACCATATTGATTTCCACAGTGACTGCACCAGTCTGCATTCCCACCAGCGGTGTGCTAGAGTCCTCTTTTCTCTCCACCCTCACCAGGACTTGTTTCATGATTTGTTGATGGCGGCCATTTTAGCAGGTGTAAGATGATACCTCATGGTTGTTTTAATTTGCATCGCTCTGATAATTAGGGATGTTGAACACTTCTTCACATGTCTCTTGGCCATTTGTATGTCTTTTTTGGAAAGGTGTCTATTTAGGTCTTCTGCCCATTTTTAATTGGGTTCTTTGTCTTCCTTTTGTTGAGTTTTATGGGCACTCCATATATTTTGGAAATTAACTTCTTATCTGATGTATCATTGGCAATTATTCTCTCCCATATAGTGGGTTCCCTTTATATTTCAATGGTTGTTTCTTTTGCTGTGCAGAAGTTTTATAGTTTGATGTAGTCCCATGTATTAATTTGTGTTCATTTTTTCTTTTGTTCCTCTTGCTTTAGGCAAGAGAAAATGTTGCTGCATGTGATGTCTGAAATTTTGTTGCCTACAGTTTCTTCTAGAATTTTTATGGATTCATGGGTCACATTTAAGTCTTTTATCCATTTTGAGTTTATTCTTGTGTATGGTGTAAGTTGGTGATCTAGTTTCATTTTTTTTTTGCATGTAGCTATCCAATTTTCCCAACACCATTTATTAAAGAGGCTGTCCTTACTGTATGCTTTTGCCACCTTTGTCAAATATTAATTGAGCATAATGTCTTGGGTTAATTTCCAGGTTCCCTGTTCTGTTCCAGTGATAATATATGCCTGTTCTTGTGCCCGTATCAGGCTGTTTTGATGACAATGGTTTTGTAGTATAACCTGATATATGGTACTGTGATCCCTCCTGTGTTCACACTTTTATTCCTGAAAAAGAAAAGTATTATTAAAAATGAATTTAAAAGTATATACTAAAACATCTTATAACAGGTAAAAGCTGGTGGTATAAATATAAAATTGTTTGAACCAAGCAGTTTGTTTTTTGTTTTACTATAAGAAATTTGGTAAATTATGATAAGCCGTTTTTCTACATCATTAATTTTCAGGGTTTTTTTTTTTTAGGCACTTCCAATTACTTATTTCTCCTTTTTTATTGAATTTATTTGGGTAACATTGGTTAATAAAATTATACAGGTTTCAGATATACAATTCTGCAATACATCATCTATATATTGTATTGTGTATTTCCACCCCAAGTCAAGTCTCCTTCCATCACCATTTATCCCCATTTATCTTATTCTATTTCCTCACCAATACCTCTTCACTCTGGCAATCACCATAGTGTTGTCTGTGTCCATGAGTGTCTTTTTTTTTCCCTTAATCCTGCTTTAGTGTTTCTTATTAATAAGTGTTCTTGTCAATTTTTAATTAGCTTATATTTATTTAATGGTGAATTTATAATGAAATGCTCTAAACAATACTTACAAGAAAGAAATTGCCAAGAAGAAAGAAGTTGAAAGAAGACTATAGTAAAGATCAAATATAGAAATGACTATACTTTTTAAAGGTAAAAATGGAGTTGATTTAAGGGTCAATATTAAGGAAAATGCTAAGAACCCAGGGCAAAAAAAAAAAAAAAAAAAGCTTGTTCTGTAAACAAGTACTTTATAGAAATTGGAGTTATACACAAATGGCCACTCAAACATGGAAAGAAAAAAATATAATTGCAGAAATAAAAACTAATGCATGAGGTGGTACATTGAAGACTAGCATACAAATAGTCATAGTATCTTTGTAAAATTTTTTTTTTTTATTTTAGATGTGAATTTATTTAAAAACAGAGATATGGCCAAACAACATCAAGACAATTTTTTTACCATTATACCTAGTAAATTATCAACAAACATCATGAATTTTTCACCCTTTCGCAATCAAGGTAAAAAATAATATATAACAACATAAAATAAGTGTTTGATAGCTCAGAATATGTTTTGTAGTGTGCTTTTTAATTTTACTCTATAAAATATTTAAAACATTCAGAAAATATCTAACATAAAAATACTACATTATAATGATTTCCTTTTTATGCTGTTAACATCCCATTACCTCCTTTATTAGTTTCTATCATATGTAGGCATAGACTATATGTAATGATGTTCTATACCAGTATTTTTCAAAATATTTTATTGTGTTGTCTTTATTTTTTAATTTTCTTTATTGTAGAATTCCCACCTTACCTCCCTCACAATCCACATTACATTAGATCAATTAATTTTATTTTAAAAGTGTACACACACACACACACACACACACACGTACCTTTTTTGCAGAAATTCCTCATTTAAATGCTTTTACTTCCTTTTTGTTCTCTAGAGGATTTTTATGCCATCTCAGCAATACTTTTTTGTTGTTATTGTTAATTGTCTTCTGAAGATACTGTTCCAATGATTTTTTTAGATAGAGTGGAAAGGAGGGAGGGAGGGAGGGAAGTAGAGTGAAAGAGAAACATTGATGTGAGGGAGACACATTGATTGGCTGCCTCCTGCAAGACCCTGATCTTGGCTGGGGATTGAACCTGCAACTCAGGTATATGCCCTTCACCAGGAATCGAACTTGTGACCCTTTGGTCCACAAGCTGATGATTTAAGCACTGAGCCGGTTTCAGCCACGGCTCAGCAACACTTTTTAAAATACTTTTTTTTTAACCCTCACCTGAGGACACTTTTCCATTTTTGTTCAGATAGCGTGGGAGGGAGAGAGAAAGAGAGAGAGAGAAACATAGACATGAAAGGAACACATCCAATGGCTGCCTCCCGCAAGACCCCAACCAGGGCTGGGGACAAACCGCAACCAAGGTACGTGCCCTTGACCTAAATCGAACCTGCAATCCATTGGTCCATGGGCCAACACTCTAACCACTGAGCAAAACCAACCAGGGCAAAAATACTTTTTTTTTTAATCTCACGCGAGGACATTTTTCCATTTTTTGTTCAGATAGAGTGGGGAAGGAGAGAGAGAGACAGAAATATCGACGTGAAAGGGACACATCGAGTGGTTGCCACCCACACAACCCAACAAGGGCCGGGGACAAACTGCAACTGAGGTACATGCCCTTAGTGGGAACCGAACCCGCGTCTCTCTGGACCTCAGGCCAACGCTCTACCGCTGAGCCAAACTGGTCAGGGCCAAAAATACATTTTTAAATCTAGCATTTTAGTTGCTGGAATTAGCTCATTTGGGATAGCTAGTCTTATATACCCCTTGTATCCAAACATGTATTCTATGTTTAATACCATGATATACAACATATCTTCATACAATCTATTTCTCATGCTTTCATGAAAATAAAATCAAGAACAAACATAAATTTGACAGTATGTGGCCATTATACTAACATGCAATTTTTAATTATTGAAATGTTCTCTGCCTCTTTTACTCTTATTTGACAAATGTGAATAGCTAGCTTGGAGTCATAGCTTCTGAAATAAATCATGTCAACAATATTTTATTTTCCCCATTACTACCGCTTATTAAATCACTTAGCCTGTGGCTTCAGTTTAATCTCTAGATAATAATTAAATAATATGTAGTTTATAATTCTTTATTTAAATGGATATGTTCCATAACTGCATATCACTTTAATAACAAATGAACTGGGAGTGAGAAAAAATGGTGGCAGAGTGAATGGAAGCTACACAGACCATCTCCCAGGACCAAACTGGAATTACAACGAAAATAAAGACAAATCGTCAGGAAGGGGCAACCGAAAGGCAGCTTGCAGGACGACATAACTAGGGACACTGACTCAATCCTGGTAGGCTTGCGAGGATGTGAGAGGGGGCCGGGAGCCCACGGTCTGCAGCGGCCTGGACTGGGACCTGCTGCTGCCTTAACAGGGAACAGCAGACTCGGCTGGAAGTGGCACTCTTGGCTGGATCCTGTGGACTTGGGTAGGACCTGCTACCACCCCGGCTGAGGCCTGCGACCTCTGCTGGGTGCTAGGGACCAGTAGCCTCAGCTGTAAGCGGCCCCCTCAGCTGGGTCTTGTGTCCTCGGCTGGGACTAGCAGCTGCCTCATCTGGGTCCTGCAACCTCGACTAGGTGCTATGCCCTCGGCTGGTGCCGCAGCCTTGGCTCCCCTGAGCTGGGAGCAGTGCCCTCGGGTTAAAGTCCCAGGCAGCTCCATGGCGCAGAGCCCAGACAAAGGCTAAATTCGCAGCAGCCACTCACCTTGGGCTCCAGCAGAGGGAAGGCAGCCTGCACTGGAACTGTGTGGGGACATTCGAGATTTGGAGGGTGCTCAGAGCTTTTGCTGAGTGCAGCCACACAGGACTGTGGTCATCTTACTCCTTCCCAGGGCTCTGGGGAGAGGTGGCGGCCCCACCCTCAAGATTCAACCCCAGCTGGTGGCCATTGTAATGCTAATTGACGCACATTAACAACCAGCATCTGCCCCACCCTCTGGAAATCCTCTTACACTGAGCACCTGAGGGAGTTTTTCAGGCAACTCAGAAACCAAGGTTCTTCAGGTGACCTCTACTAATAGCCTCCAAGCAAAAAAGCTAGAGGATAACTACCATTCCCTGGGCTAGCAACTCTAACCAGGAAAGTTAAGACTTGACAGTGGTGTTTAAAGTGGGTCCTTCCTGGCTCATCCAAACCCAGGAGAGGGAGCCACAAACAGCAGAACATCAACACCCACAGGTGAAATTTGGCAGACTCCAAAGCCCACAGTGATAGCCAAAATGGTGAAACACAGAAACAAAAGCCAAATGAAAGAACAAGAGACCTCTACCAAAAATGAGATAAATGAGGTGCAGTTAAGCAAGTTAACAGAAGTAGAATTCAGAGCCATGATCTTGAGGAAGCTCAACAGCATGTGTAAGGACATGAGACACCATGAGTTAAGACATAAAAATGTTGAAAATCAACCAGTTGGAAATGAAAAACCACCAAGAAGAAATGAAGAATGACATCAGAAATAAAGGGCACATTTGAAAGTCTGAATAGCAGAGTAGAGGAAGCTGAGGATAGGATCAGTGAATTAGAAGATGGGGTAGAAAAAAAAATTAACCAATCAGAAAACCAAAAGGAAAAAAACAAGTAAAAAACAGAAAAACAGCTTAAAAGAAATGTGGGACAACTGAAAATTTAATAACATTCGCAATATAGGAGTCCCTGAAGAAGAAAATGAGCAATGCTTAGAGAATATATTTGAAGAAAGAGTGACAGAAAACTTCTCTAATTTGGTGAAGGAAGAAGGCATTCAAGTTCAAGAAGCACAGAGAGCCCCAAGTAAGAAGAACCCAAACAGGCCCACACCAAGACACAGAGTAATTAGTGTGCCAAAAATTCAAGACAAAGAGAGAATCCTCAAAGGGGCAAGAGAGAAGTAACAGGTTACCTACAAAGGAAACCCCAAAAGGCTCTCAGCTGACTTCTCAACAGAACACTATAGGCCAGAGGGAATGGCATGAGGTAATCAAGGTCATGAAAAACAAGAATCTGAGTCCAAGACTACTCTACCCAGCAAGGCTATCATTCAAAATAGAAGGTCAAATAGATATTCAGACAAAAAAAAAAGGCTAAGGGAATACATTAGCACCAAGCCAACACTGCAAGAAATGTTAAAAGGACTGCTGTAATTAGCAGGAATAATGGGAAGAAAACACACACACACACACACACTAAACAAAAATGGCAATAAATAAGTACATATCATTAATCACCTTAAATGTAAATGAATTGAATGCTCCCATAAAAAGACACAGAGTAGCTGATTGGATAAGAAAGCATGACTCATCTACATGTTGTTTACAAGAGAGCCACCTCACAACAAAAGACTCACATAGGTTGAAAGTGAAGGGATGGAAAAAATCTTCCAAGTGAACAGAAAGCAAAAAAAAGCTGGGGTAGCAATACTCATATCTGATAAACTAGATTGCAAAATGAAGGCCATAACTAGAGATAAAGAAGGCCACTACATAATATTGAAAGTATCTATCCAACAGGAAGATAAACATATATGCACCCAATATAGGAGCAACAACAGATATTAAAAATCTTCTGGAAGACTTCAAAGGAGAAATTGATAGCAATACAAAAAAAATTAAAAATTGAACTTCCATTTGACCCAGTGATCCCACTTCTTGGAATATACTCTAAGAAGCCTGAAACACCAATCAGAAAGAATATATGTACCCGCATGTTTGTAGCAGCACTATTTACAATAGCTAAGATCTGGTAACAGCCCAAGTGTCCATCAGTAGACCAATGGATAAAAAAGCTGTGGTACATATACACAATGGAGTACTATGAAGCTGTAAGAAAGAAAGATCTCTTATCCTTTGAGACTACATGGATGGACCTGGAAAGTATCATCCTAAGTGAAACAAGCCAAACAGAGAAAGACAAGTATTATATGATCTCACTTATTTGTGGAATATAATGAACATAACAGTCTGAGGAATTGGGTAGTCCCAGAGACGTGGAAGTGTGGTACAGACTGACAATCCCCAGAAGAGGGGGTCGTGGGGGAGAGATAAACCACAGAATGATATGTATCTAAGCATGAACAATGGACATGGACAAAAAAGCTGAAGACAGGGCAGGGTGGGTGGGGGAGGGGGGAATCAATGGGGGGAAAAGGAGAAACATCTGTAACAAAAATTAATTAATAAAAAAAAAGATTTAAAAAAATAGTAATAATAACAAATGAACTTTGAAAAAACATCTAGTAAACATTGACTGAATGGGTGGAGGGAAATCCAATGGTTTATGCATAAATTTTGATCTCCAAAACTATCATTGTAAATGTATTCTTCTAAATGTAGACCGCAAATAAAATATAGAAATAAATATTGTGGTTTGAAGTAAATGGGTTGGGATAAAGGTCAAAATTAAGGAAGATGCTGAAAATAGATATCATTTCCCCAG